ATCTTCTTTCATTCTATGGGTTGTTTATTTACTCTGTTGGTTATTTCTTTTGCTGTTCAGAAACCTTGTAGTTTGTTTAAGTCCCATTTATTTATTTGTGTTTTTGTTGTATTTGCTTTTGGGGTCTTAGTCATAAATTATTTGCCTAGGCCAATGTCCAAAAGAGTTTTTTCTGTTTTCTTCTAGAATTTTGATGGTGTCAAGTCTTAAATTTAAGTCTTTAATCCATTTTGAGTTAATTTTTGTGTCTGGTGAGAAATAGGGATCCAGTTTCATTCTTCTGCATGTGGCTCTCCAATCTTCCTAGCATGATTTATTGAATATGGGGTCCTTTTGCCATATATTGTTTTTGTGCTTTATCAAAGATCAGTTACTTGTAGATGTATGGTTTTATTTCTGATTTCTCTATTCTGTTCCATTGATCTATGTGCCTAATTTTGTAATAGAATCATGCTATTTTGATTACTATAGCCTTGTAGTACAATTTGAAGTTGGGTAATATATGTGATCCCTCCAGATTTGTTCTCTTTGCTTAGGATTGCTTTGGCTATTCAGCCTCTTATACCATATGCAATTTAGGATTTTCTTTCTAATTCTGTGAAAAATGACATTGGTATTTTGATGGAAGTTGCATTAAATTTGTAAATCCCTTAAGGCAGTATGGACATTTTAACAATATTGATCCTTCCAATCCATGAGCATTGGATGATTTCCCATTTGTGTCATCAACTATTTCTTTCCTCAGTGTTTTGTTGTTCTCCTTGTAGAGATCTTTCAACTCCTTGGTTAGATATATTCCTAGCTTTTTGTTTGTTTATTCGTTTGTTTTTGCCCCTGTTGTAAATGATACTGCATTCTTGATTTGATTCTCGGTTTGGCTGTTACTAGTGTATAGAAATGCTACTGATTTGTGTACATTCATTTTGTAACCTGATACTTTACTGAATTTATTTATCAATTCTAGGAGTCTTTTGGAGGAGTCTTTAGAGTTTTCTCCATATAAGATCATATCATTGGCAAATAGGCATAGTTTCATTTGAGGCCACTACAAACACTTCTGTGCATACAAACTAGAAAATCTAGAGGAAATGTATAAATTTGTTGAAACACACAGCCTCCCAAGCTTCAATTAGGAAGAAGTAGATATCCTGGAACAGACCAATATTGAGTAGCAAGATTGAATTGGTCATTAAAAAAAAAAAAAAAAATCCCAGGACCAGATGGATTCACAGGCAAATTTTACCAAACCTACAAAGAAGAAATAGTACCTATCATACTGAAATTGTTCCATAACATGGAGAAGGAGGCAATCCTCCCTAATTCATTCTATGAAGCCAGTATCATGCTGATACTAAAGTCAGGAAAGGATACAACTAAAAAAGAAAATTACAGACCAATATCCCTCATGAACTTAAATGCAAATCCTCAACCAAATGCTAGCAAATCTAATCCAACAGCCCATAAAAAAAAAAAAAGAAAAAGAAAAAAAGATTCACCACAAACAGGGTTAATCCCAAGTATGCAAAGATGGTTCAACATATACAAATCAATACATGTGATTTACCATATAAACAGAATTAAAAGCAAAACCCATATGATCATCTCAATAGATGCCAAAGAAACATTCAATAAAATCCAGCACCCTTCATGATAAAAACCCTTAACAAACTAGCCATAGAAGGAGCATATCTAAAAATAATAAAATGACAAACCCACAGCCAACATCATACTGAATGGAGAAAAGTTGAAAACATTCCCCCTAAAAACTGGAACAAGACAAGGTTGTCCACTGTCACCTCTTCTATTCAACATAGTACTGGAAGTCCTAGTCAGAGTAATCAGGCAAGTGAAAGAAATAAAGGGTATCCAAATCAGTAAAGAGGAGGTTCCTTCTTTGTATAAAATTAATCTTCTAAACTGTAAAGGCATCAATGCCAGAACCAGAAACACCATAGCTCTGTTCAAATGCATCCTAACAAAACTTTTATGAACTTGATGTAGGGAGGAAAAATCAGTTTTTCATTTCTAAAAGAGGTGTTTCACATAATAAATGGTATTTTTATGTGAGCATAGAAGTTTATTTATGTAGCAGAAATTTCATTATCTTATAAAGTCCTTCACTTTGATGTAATGATAAAAAATCTAAAATGATATTAGTATGAAATATATATTTTTATATGTAAGATGATTTTTAAAAATGCTTATTACTAATTTTGTCATAGGTCACATTCTATAATTTCCCAAGTACTATGGAAATATTCCCAGATGTCTGGAATGAGATTTTTCCATAAATATTAGATAAATTCAATACCTGTCAATTTTTCTACCTTAAAATTATCCCCGAACAACATGATGATGCTACAATGACTGCTTACTCCACACAATACTTTCAAAACTGCCACCTCATTGTTATAATTAAGACCACATCAGGGCTTATCTGTGTAAGTATACTAACATTAGACAAAAAGTGCTGATACAGCTTTAATGTGGATTGGGCCAAGAAAATAAATAGGCTTTATGTCCGTAAACTTAACAGCTATCTTGCAGTTACTGGACACATTATGCTGATGTTGTAGAAGTTTTTTTTTTAATTCTGATTTTATTCCAAAGCCAACCAGTTAATTCCATGTCAAGAACAATTTAGAGTTTTAAAATCACAGTTCAAACGGCATACTTACTCTCACAGAGAAAATGGGATAAAAAAACATTTTTCTAGAAGATCAGTAATTTTACTATTAAATATAAAGGGATTGTTAATTTTATATATATACACACACACACACACACACACACATATATATAGTCTATAATTAGCCTATGTTTGTCTGAAAGTTAAGATTGGATAAATCTAGCGCCTCGGGGAATGGATAATAGGAGTGCTCATTTACTTCTCCCCAATCCAATTAGTATGTTTTAGGATTCATTTCTATTCAAATCCTAAACTTCTTTGCAGGGGCTGCCAGGGTCACAGAGCTGTGTGATGGTGGATAGTATATGAACAGTGACAGATGTTTTCACCTTCATGAAGCAGGGAACATTAATGAAATGCTGTTTAACGCAGGTTGTTCTGACATTGAGCCCACATTTGACACTGCATAAATGATTCTAAATTGCAGTTAAGTTCTCACGTAAACTGCTACTGATTTATTTGCTGAATAGAGGTTGTCCTTAATCAAAGGGAAGTGATACCCAAGGATCAGCTTAGAGCATAACCACTGACTTTGTTTATGACTTTTGCCCAAATATCAAACTTCTTGAGCCATCTTTCATGTTAGGCTCACTAACTACTTATCACCTTTTCCTTTCATTTTTAACTTTCTGAAGCTTACTTTCCTAATATCTAAAACCCATCTATTAGTATAGTCAACATTTTCTCCATTTACTATATCACAAATATTGGTGATGAACACTGAGAGCTCCCACCATTTCACATCAACAATGATTTATTTTCTGTTCTAAGATGAAATCCAGATGCAGCATAAGTTTCTGTAGGTCAAATTGTCAGTAAAGTGAGCAAAAAATGTCTCCAATGCCCTGTTTTTAACAACATAAGACTTTTTATTTTCATAATTGGCACCAGAAATAGCACAGTGGTAAGAAACCAAGCTCTAAAAATTCCTCATCATTACTGTGGTCGCATCATTTAAGCTGTTTGACCTCATGCACTTTAATAATCTTTATCTCACAGGACAGTTGTGAACACAAAATGAGGTCCCACCTACAAAATATTTATAACGCAGCTACTGCATGAAAAAGGGTTCCAGAATGATAACTCCCACACCATATTCTATTGAATAAAATATGCTTCTATTTTACCCTTTAACATCTCTGGAATTATTGCATCTTACATTGGGTGTATTTTACAGTTGCTGTGGCCAAGCAACAATTATAGTTGTCATTGCTTGTACATGTGAGCTTTGTGGTTATTCTTGGTGGAAATACCAATCCCGTGTTGCTTCTGCCAAAACAGACAAACAAAAACAGCTAAGGACCAATTAAGGAAGGAAAGTAAATCTTAGTTACTTGCTTAAACTTTTATTATTGGCACCTTCTGGAGCAATTAAAAATGCTACAAGCATCAAAACTTAAGGTGAGGATGGGTATTTTGGAAGCAACTTCTGGAGACAGAAGAGGAAAACTCTTTTTAAGTAATCTTGCATCATCAACACTTTTGATATCACAGATGACACTGTACAGAACACAGAATTCAATGAGCAAATTTAAAAGTGACTTGAAAGATTTAGACTCCATGTAAAGAAGTTTTAGGATTACTTCTCCTTTTAATGCTAAAGAGTGATATAAAAACTATGTGATTAAGTCATACAAAGCTATTTCAATAAGCATACAACAAAAATTAGAGTTGAACAGAAAGCATTGTATCATAGTTTAATTTGTAGCATTTCTTTTTCTTTGGGACACATTAAATGATGGTACACTGCACAGGCAATATATCTTATGTTTGAAGAAATATGAAAATATCATTACTCGATGGTTTTTCTGGTGGTGCTCTGGAAAATCATAAAGTATCATTCAATGTTAATAACCCTGTTTCTAATTGCCCTAAAACATAATACATTAAAATAAGCAGCATTTTAAAACCTACAATTAAAACTTCCAATTTGGGGAATAACATTTGAAAACACACTTGCTTTTCTCCATCCACAGAGTCTCAATATCCATGTTTCTCCTAGTTAACAAGCACATGGGCTTTAGTTGTACCTTATTTTCAACTTCTCTGGAGAACAATGGTCTCTTTCTTTAAGATCTTCCTTTGTCCCCTAATACAAATATTATGTATAGTTTTTATTCTAAGCCACACCATGCCAAATGAGGTAAGGTTAACATATAATTTGCTTTCCCTAACAGTGTGCTGGTCACAGGCTATGTGCTAAATCAGTGCCAGGTATTATTGTCGTTAGGAATGCTAATTCCAAGGAACAGAGAATGGTAAGGTGCTGTTGGTACCATATCTAATCTGCTATCATTGTCCATTTTTGTAGGCGGAGTTCGCTGTCCAAATAGCAGTGCTTTGCAGGAGGTGCGCAGCTGTAATGAGCATCCTTGTACTGTGTACCACTGGCAAACTGGTCCCTGGGGCCAGTGTATTGAGGACACCTCCGTGTCGTCCTTCAACACAACTACAACTTGGAATGGGGAGGCCTCCTGCTCCATCGGCATGCAGACGAGAAAAGTCATCTGTGTGCGAGTCAATGTGGGCCAAGTGGGACCCAAAAAGTAAGGGCTTTCAAATGACGACAGTAAATCCTGTGGGCAACCATGCAGAGGATTGGCTCAAGCTTCACTTGCTTCATGAAATGGAGCATTTGGATGCTTGTCATATCTGTCCTCAAGAGTAAGATTTGTTTGTTTTGAGTGTCAGCTGCTGATAAAGCTATAACTGCTTTAGAGTCTTGTACCTGGGATCCATAAATTCTGTAGAAATCTTTCTATCTAGTACCTACTTTCTGTTTTATAGTATAGAGCTTTCTGCTTTTATTAAGCTAGTGAGGCAATGAAAGAAGTGCTTGCTCTAGGCCTGGCTGATCAATAATGACAGTATACCACGTCCTAGCATTGTAGGTCACCCATGACCTCCTATATACCCGTAGGCTACAGAGGCTGCCAATCTAGTTTAATTGGGTAGTAGCCTTCTATGATCTGTCTTTCATTTCCCCTAGAAAATACTATATCAAAAATACCGAGGCCAAACATTATATCTTTCCATGGTTAAATGAATAAGCCATTTACTTCCAAGAGAGAGCCTTGGGATAGGGTACGTGTTATGATAAGTAGAAAAACTATCAGTTTCTTATGGTGGGAATGAGTACTGTAATAACAAGGCAAACACAATTTGCTACAGGGAAGGACAAAAAACCTGAGAGTTGGTGTATTATATGTGTCCTGTGAGAAATAGAAACAAAACAAGTAATGAAACAAAACAAGAAACAAAATAAGTAATCTGGGCTAATCAATTATTAAAGAAAATTAATAACTCAACTCTAAAAAAAGTTTCTTGGAGAGAGTAAAACCTCTTTATCTTTTGAAATGTTAGCATAATTTTTTTAAAAAAAAATTCAAATCATCTTAACCATATGAAGCAAGAAAAATAAAACCAGTCAATTTTGCATGGATGTAAAAGTGGCCTTCTATTTTCTAAATATTCACCCAAGTGGTTAAATATTGTGTGTGATCTTAAACCTCCTGCCTTACTAATTGTGGCTTCAGTTTTCAGTCTGTTGCAAGGATTTACTGAAAAAAATAATACTAATCTAAACACTCAATAAATGTTAGAAATTATTATGGAAAACTCCTGGGAGATAAATAAGAATCCCATTATGAGTTATTTTTACCTGGCCAGGGTTCCAGACAGTAGGGATATTTTGCTTCATATTTTATTTGTTTATATCTTTTGAAATGAGAAATGTATTGGAGAATATATGCCAAAAGAGATTTGAAAAAATTGAGAGACTATTTCACATGCTTAATAGGTAGCCCCAAACCAATATTTTAATAGAAATTATGCTAAGGTTTTTATGAGTCTAACTCAGGAAAATATAGTACAGAGTGTTAAAATTCAATGGTGGTAGCAGCAGGTACAGAAGTCCCAAGTCCTGGAGGATTCTGAGTCTTGCTAGAGCAAGAACAGAGGTAGAAACAAATACTCACTGCAGAGGCACATGAAGAGTGTTACTGTGCTGAATGAACTTCTACAAGTAAACTCACTGTGTTCCTGTTGTACAGTTAATCACCTTTCAAATGTTACTGTTGACATTTCCCTCACACAAACTGCGAAATATTTTTGCTGAGTACTGGATGTACATATGTACAAAGCTATGTGTGAAAAAGCCTGCTGGATTAACATCACTAAATCATTCAATCGGATGAATATCCTGAAGCCCCATGTCAGATCACCACAATAATCCACTGAAAATTTGCTATATGCTTGCAGCTTTTATTCAATGACCTGGATACATCTATAGATTTGTTAAATCAAATGGATTTACTTTGCCCTTAAAATTCTGGAAAACAAAGCAAATACTGTGAATTCAAAAGAAAATATCATTGCTCCTCTGACTTAATGCTAGGTTAAGTTCAGTGAATACTTTCTAGTACTAGGCATTTGAAACAAAAATGCAAATAGAAAACTTGTTTTAAACTTCTCTTAATAAAACAGATTACTGTGCAATGGTAAAATCAATGTTATTGATCTTATCTATTCTCCCAGTAACAAACTTCAACTCCTATCACATCTGTTTAATTTGACCTTGAATAAGATTTGGGGGAAAATCAATTCCTTGATTTAAACCACAAACACTAAATACAAACAACACAAAGGAGAAAAGCAGCATGTTGACTGAGCCAATTGTCTTGCCAAAGGAAGTCTGAATTCATTTTATTGGATGTAATCTAGGCTGTGTAATTTATCTTTGTGTGTTCATTTAACGACTTTGTTCTTAGTAATTTTGTTCTCCACAGTTAGCTAAGTATCTTGCTGTGGCTATTTCTAAACTAAAACAGAATATTTGGAGGTTGTCAATGATAACACTGTAAATTCCATTGATTTATTCAGGGCTAATATTTGAAGAGCATGTAGTTAAAGTTGTTAAAGTTGTAAAACTGCCTCAATGAAAAGAAATGCTGCCAATAATAATTACTGACCAATAATTCCATAGCTCCAAAAGAATTAACTGGATTATGTGTGGGGCTTTGTCGTATAAATAGCTCCTGGTTAAAAATGGAGAATAAATTGTAATTCTAGTGATTTACGATCTAAATTATAACAATACATTTACTTATGTGATTCACATCTAAATTTCTTTGTTGTTCATAACTTTGAATAGTGTTAGCAATTAGGAAATCCAAGTTTATCCTCAAAGTAAACCAGGGAGATTATTTATTTTTGAAACATTGAATCCTATATACTTTTAGAATTCACTTACTTCCAAACAAAACCTTATATTTTAAAGTGAGAGAGGAGAGCATGTATCTATATAATTGAATACAGCATAATATTTATGTATGTATGAGAAATGACACATAGAGAACTATAATAATACAAGATATAGCAAAAATGAAGTGTCAGCAACATGCGATAAAGAAATTACAGGAAAATAGACTAATGGTGTTGATTTTTTTTCACTCATAGTTCAATTCTGAAAACATAATTAACTTACTTGATAAAAGACAATTTATCTTGAACTACATAAAATTTGGCTTTTCCTTTATGGAGTATTTTTAAATTATATTTCCCACTGATTTGCCAATTTATTCCAGCAAGAGTTATACTGGTTGTTTGAATTATTTCTTCAGTGCTTGTTAATTTACTTGGCAGGGATTTATATGACCTCAAAAGAGAATTGCTTAGAAATCAGAATGGTTACTTTGAATTATATGAATTATGTTATTATTATTTTATTTTTCTAATATACATATTTTTCTAATGTTAATGACCATGACCAACATTTGACCACTTACAATAGTAGTATTAGACCATGAAAATGCAGAGAAAAATTGGGAAATTTAAAAATCATATAATACATATATTTTGAACAAGACAGTATATTTAAAACCTATAGATAAGCTTCCTATTATCTCTTAGGAAGTGAAAACCTTATATAAAGTAAGACATTTCAGTGTTTTGTCATTCTTATCTTTCTCTTGCCTTCCTAATAATAACATATTTTTGCTACCTTTTTTAAACAATAATTTAGTTAATGTTACTATAATTTATGTCAAGCATACAGTATTTTGTTTTTCTTTAGATTATTGAGTGACTATGTTTATTTTATTTATATTCACTCTTTTTGCTCCAAAAAAGATATTATAGCTTATAAAAATATAAAAAATATTTTAAGTCCCATAATTTAAAATTAGGGATAAAATGGAAGGAAAAATAAGAATAGATACATTAAGTGAAGCCAAGAATAAAACAAAAACTGCTTATCATAATAGTTTATATACTTCTAGCAATACTTATATACTTCTCCTTATTATTAAATATACAGCTATTAATACAACATTGGTTTAGAGCATGTACTGTGTAAAGAATATACTCCATTACAATTTAATTTATGCTATACATGTTTTGTAAAAATAAAGAGTGTAGAATAACCTGGAAACTTATAGTAGGCAAAAAGCCCTATTTAGTTATACAAAGATATAGAATTGGATCCTTAAATGAATATTTATTAATGTAGATATTATTATAGGATGATAAGATATAATTGACATATATTGTTCTAGATAGCATAATTGCTATTAGTAAATCTGCACATCCCGCCTTGGGAAGCTTTATTGAGGTTCAGCTTGAAAGAATTCATTTAGTTGTGTAGTTGTTGTCAAAAGTAAAAAGGCTGCTGGAAGTTAAATAATACAGATTGGTGACTACTTTTGCAATTTTAGCAATGAAAATCCTAAAGAAGTTAAATTACCTGGTTCTCTGGCTTACTAGAGAAGCCTAATCATTTCCCTTTGCTTTTTCTAGGTGTCCTGAGAGCCTTCGGCCTGAGACAGTGAGGCCTTGCCTGCTTCCTTGTAAGAAGGACTGTATCGTGACCCCATATAGTGACTGGACGCCATGCCCCTCCTCGTGTAAGGAAGGTATGGTCTGCAGAGTTCTGTAGGCTATTCACCTAGAAAACCTACTCAATGGGGCTTTCGAGATTTTCTGGCTGAGTGATGTTTGTGAGTCTTGCGTGGGGCTGTGTGATCCTGGTTTGGCATGCATGCCATAAAATTTTTTTGTTTCCCTCTAGAAAATAACATAGCTTTAGAATATCAAACAAATTCGTTTCAAACAAAAGACTGACTTGAAATTTTATGACACAGATTAAAGTGATAGGATTCTAGACTTTATTATATTAATAATGTTTACTTTTACATTAATTCTAAAAAGAAGTACAGTGGTCTTATGTGTTTTAAAAAGAATAAACAGTACTCATCAATACACGTGGCTTCCAGCCTACTTAATGGCAAGATATAGCATGGGACCATATGTAGCTCCAAAGACAGGAATAAAAGAAAGAGAGAAATGACAAATTGTTTCCCTGTCAGCATGTAATATGTCATGAAGCATTTACAAGATAAGTATTTGTTCCCAGTTTGGTTTAGTTTTGTTTTTATTACTTACAAAGACTCCTTAGTATCAAACCAGATACTTAGATCATTTTTCCTCTACCCCCCAGGACAGGATCTTTCCTTATTGCTGCTGGGAAAGGTATTAACATTCTCCAGGTGGCTTACACAGTAAACTGAACACATTTTCTCTGCCACAAATGCCACTGTCTCCTGTTTCTTATTTTACTCTCCTAACAAATAGAGATAATTTCTCTTGAATTTCCTTTGTGCTTATTTTATATATGCTCTTGACTTTCACTAGAGAGATTCAATTAAGAATCAGCTTTTAGTTTAACAAACGATTATTTTAAATTGCTCAGATTTATTTAAATCCTTTAGATAGTATAAATTTAACAATGGATTTTTTTTTACGGTGTGATTGTCATTTTATATATTTGAAATGTGAGTTTTTTCTTATGCTTTTCCTATGGAATACTCTTGACATAGCAAATAAAAATGATCAATAATAGAAATTTTTGTTTTAAAAATCTTTTAAGGCATTTAAATAGTTTTTAAGGAAAAAACAGAGTTATAAGAATTAACTTGTTAAAAAATGTTAATGGCATAATCTTACTATGCAATGGCATTGTCTGACATTTTTATCCTGATTTTTTTCCTTTATTCCTTTATTTTCTTAAAAGCTAAATAATATACAATATCCCTTGGTTTCACCACAGGGATAGAATTGGCAATAGAATTATACTTTCTTATAGGTTAATATTTCTGTGGTAATGGTTGGTTATTCATTACTTCAGTTAAAAAGGTTTATTACATGGAATGAATACACTTGCAAATTTTATCCTTGATGTTCTTATATTTGATCTTTTGTGTTAGTATGAGATAAGGTCATTTACTAATAAATGCAGTTACATTTATAACCAAATTGTTAATAATTTAACATAAATCTTAAGTGAATTTTTTGAAAGTAGGAAGTCTTTGCCTTTTCCTTATGTTGGATATTTCCTTGTATTGTGTAAAGTACTTTAAAATAAAAGTTGACTTGGTTTAAAGTATTTCCAAGAAATAAAGTTAAAAAATAACAGAATAGATTGTATTAAATTAATCCTAGAATAGTTAGTTACTCATAAAAATGAGGACTCAGAATTGTTCTCATTTCGTTAGACATTTATTTGAAAATAATTTGGGATATTAGAATGTATCCAAAAACTAGGAATGATCTCAATAGTCTATGAATTTTCCTCTGGAAGTTCTTTTTTTTTTTTTTTTTTTTTTTTGAGACAAAGTCTCGCTTTGTTGTCCAGGCTAGAGTGAGTGCCGTGGCGTCAGCCTAGTTCACAGCAACTTCAAACTCCTGGGCTCAAGCGATCCTGCCTCAGCCTCCCGAGTAGCTGGGACTACAGGCATGTGCCACGATGCCCGGCTAATTTTTTATATATATATCAGTTGGCCAATTAATTTCTTTGTATTTATAGTAGAGACGGGGTCTCGCTCTTGCTCAGGCTGGTTTTGAACTCCTGACCTCGAGCAATCCGCCCGCCTCGGCCTCCCAGAGAGCTAGGATTACAGGCGTGAGCCACCGCGCCTGGCCTGGAAGTTCTTGAAAATGCATTTGTGATTGTGTTCTGTGTTGTATGGGTCTGGAAAAGAAAATAAAAAATAGAGTTTTCTTACTCATAAAAATACCATATTTGAAAACCAAATAAATTAATTTTTAAATTTGTGATTTTTATGATACTATGAAAATGATTTACTCTTATCTATTTGATCATTTATGAAATAAAGAAATTATGTGAAAAACATAATACACTTTTTAAAACTTTTTAGCAGAGAGGTGAGGGAATAAATAGATCGAGAATGCTACGCGTGTGTTAACTAAATTAATACTCACACGTGCATATATGCATAAATACTTAATGAATTATTTATTGATTCCTTTATATAACTAGCATACTGACAGTCTTAGGAGAAAACACAGTCTTATTTAAAAGGAGGTAAAAGATATCTTTTTGAAAGATGGAGCTCATAAAAGAATCCCAAGTGAGGATCATAGAGAACAGGAAAGCCTTAGATAACCATGGGAAAATTATAAATTTGGAAAAGACCAGCCCACTGGAGCCCATGGTGTGTGTAGGAAAGTGGAGATGTAAAGTTGAAAAGGAGAATGGATGCAGGTTATAAGAAGAGCAGATTGGACTTACTTTGATATATAACAGGACATACTTTTAGTTTTTGGATATAGGAACGAGTAGTGAGTTTCATGCTATAATGGATTGAGTGGACTCTGAATCAGTAGATCTGGTCTGGACACTGGCCTTGGCCACTTAGAAGCCAGTTGACCTTAGGCAAAATATCTAAGTTCTTCAAGCCTTGCTTGTAACATCTATGAGTCGTTTCATGGTTCAAATGAGATGGTATATGGTAAAGTGCTCTATGCTTTGTGAACCATTATCTAAGTGATACAACCTTTGATGTCCAGTTCATAGCGATTATAAGTTCCTATAGGAAAGGCACAGCCCCCTACATATGGTCAGTATTTGGTAAATGTTTTAGTTTGGCATATTGAAAGCAGTACTTCTGAGAAGTTTAATTACATATCCATGTGGAAAAAGCATTGTGATCATGATAAAAGAAAATATACTAATATTACATCCTAACTGATCATTATTTATTGGGGTTTTGCTAATCAAATTACTAATTATTTTCAAATGCTTCATTGTATCATTAAACATCAATAGTATTAGTTTAAGCAATCATTCTTTTTTTTTTTTTAATTCTACTATGATTTTTCAAGTAACTATAATGTGCCAGGCAGAATTCTAAATGTTAGGAATTTGCAGTAAACAAAGAAACTAATGGTTTCACTCTCAGAAAGCTTACATTCTAGTGAGTTGAGATAGGCATTTAATGGTTGTTGTAATCTCTTAATGAGTGAAAAAGAAGATTAACCACTGAACATGAGGGTAGGGGGAAGGTGGAGGAGAATTAAGGAAAGAAAAGATATAATATAATTTTAGAGATTTCTAATTGAGTAAATTAGTAAGTGTCAATTAGAAAGTATTGGGTAAATTAGTGAGTGTCATTAACTAATACATTTAGTGTCATTAACTAATACATTTAGTTATGTATTTAAGAAGAGATTGTTCTGTTGCCAGAGTTGCCAATGTTTCTCCAGCCATGGTTAGCTGCCCCAGTGCAGAAAAAGTGTAGGAAAATAATTGGTTTTGGTTAGGGTTGGGGCTTTTCTAGGAGAACATGAAAAAGATACAGGCAGACAGGGAGCCAAGAGTGTTAGCAAGGAAGTACTCATAATAATAATGGATTATAGACTCTAACTTGGGCTTGATGGAAATAAGATCATGAAGAGGATGATAGACAGTGAGAAAGTGATAGGAAAAGTACCAGGCAGTCTCAGTTGAGTCACTAGAGTACTCCTCATTAGTAAAATTACAACTAAAATAGATAAACTGCAAGGTTAGCAGTAATGGTTAGAAAGTAAGATGTATGACAATCAGTTATACAGTTACCAATCGTGATAAGATCAAAAGATGATCTGATGAGAGAGTAACTGATACGAGATAAAAGTAAAGGTCAATGGACAGAAGGAGATACAATAATTCAGCATCCAGGAGATATTGGTGGTAGAGTGGTGCGCATAGTTGCTTCCAGAGTCCAGTGCCATGTATGGAATGACCATGTGGTTATCAAAGCCACCAAAGTGGTAGCAGGGGTAAGAAGAGAAAGAATCACAGTGAAGGATGTTCTAAAGTCACTTCTGAATGAAGTGTTTCTAGATGAGTGCTACAAGGTAGGTAACTGATGGTAAAGTTGGTGACAGGAGCTAAGAAGACGTGGAGATTTTTAAAGGTGGAGGGAGGAGGAAAGATTAGGAAATAGCTAGATGGAGCCAGCTTCCGCTGAAATGTGAAGGAAACTTTCCAAGAAGAGATTAAAGATGAGAGACTGTGTGTTCCAATGGGTGCCATGGGGAAGGGTTAGAGGCGGAAGAGGAATGAGAAATTGAATCTGGTAATGCGTGTTAGATAGTGCCATGGGCACAGGTGATGATGGAAGGTCTGCAGTTGGGAAGGGCTCATTTCTTGTGGGGAGTGACAGGCATGTGGGGTGTAATAGATTTAGTTGGATTGGTCCCTTAGGTTGGAAACTGCTATAAGTTAAAATGCATGGTGCCACTGGGAGACTCTTCTCCCCTGGAGCTCCTGGGGTAGCAGTGGCCCAGAAGTATGAGAATGTAGACTCTGGAATTGGCTCTCTTGGAAGCAAGAGGCTCTCTGAGAGGCAGGTTGATGTTTCACTGAGTGCAGGTCATGTCATTGGGAACAGAAGATCAGCCCTGCCTGTTTTATTTGACAGCTCTATGTTGAGTCTTCTAGAACAAAAAGTTTTTAGAAGCCCTAAACCTAGGCACTCATTTTAAAAGAATAACTGTAATTGTGTATTGAAGATATTAAAAAAAAAGACTGGGAAGTGATAGAAGGGGTTGTTGTTGGATAACAGTGCCAAGATGCTTTGTGCTCCCGAAGAAGCCTTTTCTGTTTTGCCTGTAGAATGAGAGAATAAGGAGACAATGGTGTTATAGAAAGCCAGCAATTTGTTGTGAACATAAGCAATGACATGAGGTTAGTTTATTTTTTTTCTTCATTATTTGGCAAGAGATGAGAATTATCCAAGATCACTGAAATTACACTAACTTCCTACCAAAATTAAAAAATGCTAAACAAAGTTAAATGTTCAAGGAGAGGTAATTTGCAACAGAAAATTAATTCAAAGACGGAGTGATGCTTTTTCATTTAATTCTTCAGGTAAAGCATATATTTTATAAGGGTTTTGAACTCATTAAAATGTGGAGCTTCCTTTCTTTTTTAAAATCACTTAAAGAGGTAAAATTACACTATAATATTGCAGAAAATGGAACAGAATAGTTTAGGATTCCAGAAAGAACTAAAAGAGCTTTTTAAAAAGTTACGATGCCCTCTCCCAAGATAGGCCTTGAAAAATCGATGCTATTAAAGATAAGTATTGAGTGGAATGTAGTTTAACCCTCCACTCAATGTACTTGTTAACTTTTTTCTTTCCAAATTTTCATAAATTATTTGTAACTCTTCTTAAAAATCAACACTTTTGATCAAATAATATATTTGGTTGTTCAAATAATATATTTGCTCAAATTGTTTGTTTTTTTTTTCTTACTGAATTTATTGCCTTGAGAGCTAGAAGGGATATTGCAGAGGCATCTATTCTACCCTCCTGTCCTGAATCACTAGAATTATCCCCAAAGATCTGAAAGCTATCTTTACATTTTACCTCTTACCTGAAACATTTCCCTTTCAATTTCCTATCACTCTGCTGTTCTAACCTACCATCCACCCAACTCCCAGCTTCGCAAATCAATTTTGCATGCCTTTTAAATTCTTCCATCAAGTAATTTTTTTGGTAAAATCCATCTCGAATATCTTAAGATATCTGAAAAATGCTGTAACTTCGTGAGAGATTATGTACTAGCTGAATCTGTGTGCCCCATGATCACATAATTATTTTCTGAATATGTAATCTCTTTTATCTATTCCTATTCTAGATAGGCATTTTCACCACAGGCAGATGCCTTTATTTTTCCAATGCTCGTTATTTCCAACAAGAAAAATAATAGCTTATTTTTTATTAATCCTCAATGCACAGACTTAATACGTATGTGTTTAGTACTATCAGGGAATGGCAAGAAAGAATAGCAGATGATAACTAATAATCCAGGAGAGAATATGTGAAATAAATGTGTTTACTCATTCAGCAAATATTTATTAAGCACTTACTATATGTGACTATTGTTCTAGGTACTAAAGCACAAAGATGAATAGAAAGACTACACGTATAATACTGCATATAATAAATTGGGTATAAATACATACAGGGAAGTATGAGAGGTGTAAAATTCCAAGTTTGCCAGCTCAAGTTATTAGTGAGACACTTTCCATTTTTCTTTTTTAATGTGTGCTGTAGCTCTCCCTTTGTCTGTGCTCTGATATGAGGGCTCGATAACCTGGCTGAGTTCTACGGAGCTGTTACTTTGAGTGCACAAGCAATTTTTCACCTGTGAACTGAGAAGAAGTAGACCTCCCAGTGGGTAAAAACATGAATGTCATGACACTCCCTGTGTAACCCCATTAAACTTCTTCTCTAGGTATTATGGCTTTGAAGAGTTTCACTTTAATCAGGTCACAATCTCTATCCTGTGAACTGCACAAGGTTAAGGAATTTGAACTTTTTATAAGAATAAATGGATTGCCATTGTGAAATCAATTAAGGAAGTGAAGAGTCATCATAGTGTTACATATCGAGTACAAACTTGTGAAATTTGTGATGAGAAGGCACTAGAAGAATGGTTCAGAGTTGTACTTTAATTGACATTCTTTCTTTCAAGTCAATAAACAGAATTGAAGCACTAACGTTTGCTTCCCAAATTGGAACAGCTCTGGCTATGCACCAGGTGACATCTAGATAGTTAATGACTAGGAGCTTCAGTCTATTAAGTGCCATGGATGCTGGACTCATTCTCCTCTCCCACCCCTACCCCAGTCCCCAGATCCCTTGGTCTCAATCCGTATCTATTTTCTAACTGCAGGTTGGAGAATAATTGCCTCTAAGAATTTTGACCACCTGGGGAACAAAGACCTATTTTCCCTTTTCTCCCTGTTAAAAAACAAACACACAAAAACCTCTCTCTTTCCCCCAGTGCTAAAAAAAATGATAAGAATGGTCATTTAGTTTTTATGCTTTTTTAAAAAAAGATTAAAGACAGATCATAAACATAAAAAAATAATAGAAATTGCAAAAGAAGTATAGATTCCCATAGTGAATGGGGGAGGCAATGAAGGGAAGAAGAGGAGAAAAATTATACTAGAAAATCAGTTAAGGTAAGCTCCTGCAATTGAGAAGAAAATTAGCTCTGAGATTCTGGTGACCAAAGCAAAAAATAGAAGCACAATGGATTCTTCGCAGATTGTCCAGGGAAACAAAATTTTTCCTAGCTCTGAATTATTAGAGGAATTTATCACCTGGGCCTTAAAACAGGGGTCGTTTGGACAACATAATGAGTGGAGACTGCATTAGCAATTTATTAAAGTCCTATTGACAATTCTTAGATCTTACCTAGATTAATCATATTTGATATGTATAAGTTTCAGCTGGCATTCAAGCTACTATTGTTACACTAAAAATTCTATTATAATGTTTTCAAATACTTTAATTCTCTGCTGCCCAATACTTCCAGCCCCCAATTCCCTATTCCATTACCTGTGGTATTCCAGTTATTCATTAAAATAGTTATGCAATCATTAATAGCACAGGTTTCCCCCTGTGATGGGAATAATCCTAACAAGTTACATGTGAATCCAGAATCATAAATTACAATGGGACATACAAGTTCAGGTATTCCAGTAGATCTCAAATCTGGCTCTTCATCCCAATTACCTAGCAAGCTTTTTAAAACATCAGATTCCAAAACCCAACTCCCAAAGATGCTGATTTAGTAGTTCTAGCTATAGGCCCAGACTTCTGTTGCTGTAAAAGATTCTCCTATGAAGTCAAACATTTAGGAATCACTAATCTCATCCATTCTCCCGTCTAATACAGGAATCCTCTCTAAACATGGCTGGGAGTCAGTTGCCCACACCATGCTGAGGATGCCCAGTCAGGATGCCCTGACTTCATGAGAAAGGATGTTTCTTTGTGGAAACATTATAATTGTCAAATCATATTTTTTCCCCACTACTGCAGTATCTTTAAAAAGGTTTCATTTCATTTCTGAGTAAACCTTAATTGTCAGGGTCTGCTGACCCTTTAAATTTTTTCTGTTCCTGTAGTCTGTGTATCAGATATTTAAGGATCTTGCAAAAGGATGTAAATGCATCAGGAGAACTCTGTTAGTGTAATTCTTTAGGGAATTCTTTTATAAGTGAACCCTGTGCCATGCAGCCATTCATCCTTAAAGTAAGGATGTTTATAAGTTAAAATATATTAAGAGTTAGCAAGTTTCATGCATTATCTGCTTTTGATACTAAAAAATTTTGAACATCCTTGTATCAGTATTACTGTCAAATTGATGTCTTCATTGCAGTTAAATCTTAATTTTTTTCCCATTTTTAACATAATTTGGAGTTATTTGCTTACAGAAGCTATTGGTATTTTCACTGCTTTTTTAAAAAGTCTGCCTGTAAGAAACCACTTTCATTTCACTGCTTAGAGCTCTGATGTTTAGAATGTGACCTGAATTGAAGATCCTAGACTGTTTAACATGAATAATAAATGACTGGAATAACTTAGAAGTTATGCATTTCAAATTAAGTGAATAACAAAGAAATAAAATTTCACATTATAGCATTGGATATATTCTCCTAAAGAAGATTCATTACGTGTGTACGAGTCCCATGTGGTAAACAGGGCTAGGAGAAATAGCATGAAAATAAATTTAAGGTAGAGGAAAATAAATTAATTAGATCTGTCATATTCCTCACGGGGAAAGAAATATACAAAAGAGCAGTTACTTTGTAACTGCACATTAGGAAGCCTGGTTGACTGCGGAACTTTTCCCCATTCTTCACATTTTTAAGTATAAATTGATCGGGTTTTCAATATAAGTGGTCTTTGGGAGATTTTAGTGAATGATTAGACTAGATGAAACCTCTCATTCAGGGATGTCAAAGCATGTGTCACTGGCAGCAATGTAATTTCTTCACACAGCCTGGTATTTGGAGATTCTTTTATCAGTGCAAAGTACAGAGGTTAAAAACCTGCCTCATTGCAGGGGACTCCGGAGTCAGGAAGCAGTCTCGGCATCGGGTCATCATTCAAATGCCAGCCAACGGGGGCCGCGACTGCACGGATCCCCTCTATGAAGAGAAAGCCTGTGAGGCCCCTCAAGTGTGCCAAAGCTACAGGTAACAGGGTTAGAGGAAAAGCATCATGAGCAATGCGTTCAGCAAAAGCTTCAAGTCCACATTCTTTCAAAGGATGAGGAAAGGAAGTCAACTGTGTTCCTTCCACAGGCTCAGTGGAGTTGGGGATGTTTATAGCTGTGTCTGCCATTTCTTGTCTCTTCAGGAGAGCTGCTCTGCTGCTGAAGTTATCTCCAAGGAGACAAATACCTATGTAAATTTCCAAGCTATGGTATTAGCTCCAGGAGTTTTGGAAAATGTCTTATGTTGATATAAACTATAAGAAATGCAGAAAGTGATCAATAATTATAAAACACATATGCTTTAGGAAGCAATTCTTTTTCACTTAGGAGAATAGCCTAAGCATTTTCCCCTGGCTCCAAAGAACACCTGTTAATTCTCATAAATGCTCATATTCTGGCTCAGGAAATGACATCTCTAGCTCAGTGATACTAGCGAGATATCTGTTCTGTTCATTTGTGATCACCCCAAAGGAAATTATAGTTATTGAAGGTATATATCATCTTGATAATTTATTAGAGAAATTTGGTCCCCATCCCATTAAGACAGAAAGTATCTAACCAAAATCTGATATAGTATATAATTGCAATCCTGACAGTAAATGAAATATAGCATCAATAAATGAAAAATATAATCACAAAATATTAATTTAAGATGAAATAGATGGCAAATTTGCCATCTTAACACATCAGTTTTTAATTCTGAAATGACAGATAGTATAATTGCATGTTACACCATGAATATTGACAACTATTAGCCCAAACTTATTTGCTTTTGGAATTTGTTTTTGTAAAGCATATTATAATTGCAATTGCTGAATTGCTCCTACAATGCTAATCAAAAGAGCACTATACAAAAGAATCCTGACTTGAATACGGTTTCAAAACTTGAATAAAAATAAAAACACCTTATTTAAATAGAATGCATCCCTTTTGGTGCTATCTGGCACATCTCTGAACAGTCCCAGTCATTTAAAAAAACCAAATGTTCTCTGTGGAGCCTCGTAGAACTTGACAACATTGTACTTGTGTTTTCACTGCCAAAGAAAGTACTTTTACATTTAATGCTGCTTCTTCTAATACCTTGATGGAGCTCTAAATTAAATTTAGATAGGACTGAGCATTGTTAAATCAATTCCTGTTTGCAGTAGTCAAAGTCCTGTTTTCATGCTGCTATATCTCCATGAATTGCCTGACATTTTTGCTTCCTCTCTACTGGGCTTCTGTTCTTTTCTTATAGATGGAAGACTCACAAATGGCGCAGATGCCAATTAGTTCCTTGGAGCGTGCAACAAGACAGCCCTGGAGCACAAGAAGGCTGTGGGCCTGGACGACAGGCAAGAGGTGGGAGGCCCCATTGCACACTTCATTTCTCCAACATCACTAGGTTTAACCACCATCTTGATATGTTTGTCACTTTGATGCCCTGCTTCGCAAATAGAGCAGAGTGGATATGAATCTCCTATGACCCATTCTACAAAACACCATAACACAGAAAATTATCAACTTATCTTTTTAAATTGTGTCTGTTGTTCTTTGGCATTAGCTCATAACTCCTGAATTTTTCTCTCAGTTATATATGGAAGAAAATTAGACCAAGCTTTCAGTTATGACATGGATGGTACACTGAAGCTTGATTTTTGTTCCTACTTATTTATTTGTTTGTTTTATTTTGGTTCTGTGACCGGGTCTTGCTCTGTTGCCCTAGAATGCAGTGAATTCATCATAACTCACTGCAACCTCAAACTCCTGACTCAAACAGTCCTCCTGGCTCAGCCTCCCAAGTAGCTGGGACTATAGGCATGCATCACCATGGCCCGCTGATTTTTCTATTTTTTGTAGAGACAGGGTCTTGCTCTTGCTCAGGCTGGTGTTGAACTCCTGGCCTCAAGTGATCTTCCCAACTCAGCCTCCCAAAGTACTACGATTACAGGCATGAGCCACCATACCCGGCCTTTTTAAATCAAGGTATTCTGTAATACTTTTGCCTGCCACCTTAACAATCAATAAGATTTGTACCTGCTTGTCTACATGTATGCATACAATGTGATATAATTAGTTAACTTTCCCCAGAAGTTCTCTGCAATGGCATTCCAAACACTGTCATGGCTATCTACAATTCTGTTCATATTCAGTTCTGATTTTTAAACAGCAGATTTATTTACTCAAAATCTGTAATATGTGAACTGCAATCTGTCTGCACCACTAAATAACATGAAATCTTGCAAAAATGGGTGATGGGGATGTTTCAAGCTTGCCATAATTATTTACTAGATATTATAGGAATACATAAATCCCAAGTTTTGAAATATATTGTTTATATAGTTACTAAACTCAATCTTTAAAGCAGTACATGATTCTTTTTACTCATATTTATCTTTAGCATATAGTTCCAGCTCTATACTTAAAATATAGCTTAATATGTAATTGAATATGCAACCACCTTTCTTTAATATATAAAGATACCTTTTTCACCCAAATTTGTAGTTACGTATTTCACGATGATAAAAGTTTGAACATATGGAGCAGAAGTACAGTTTTTGCTGATTTGATCTGAGACCCCATTTTCCTTATAGTGAAAAAATTGCTTTTCTATTTTGAGAAAATGTGCTTGTTTTTTTATTTAAAAAATCCTCTATTTTCATAATCTTTATTTTAGAAGTCTTAATTTGAAACATAAGATTTCACTTACAAATAATAACTACTTAGTGATTTTTAGGGTTTATTTTATTTCCATAATTCTCCCACCATCAACTATGAATAAAAAAAATAACTCTGGCTCCCTTTACAATTATAGGGACTAGGTATATAGAATTGAAAGTCATTCTCCCCATTTCAAATCATTCTTAGAGAAATTGAGTGATTTGAGATCTTCTTTTCATGGTCTGCTAATTCTTTCTTGAATCAAGCATACATTTCTGTACTTTCTGGCTCCTATATAGAATTTGCAATGAAAATGAGCATGAGTTTGGCAATCAGGAAACCTGTTTTAGTCCCAGTTTTTTCACTAATACAGTGTGAGTCTTACTCATCCCTTTCCCTTTGTAGGTCTCAGTTTATTTAGACAAAAACCAAAGAGAGAAGTTTGGACCAAATGATCTTCAAGGATTATTCCAATTTTCATAACTATAATTTATGCTCAAAATATATCCAGAGAGCAAAGTGTAAGATAAAATTAGGTAAAACAGATGAAAGACATACTTTTATAAAACACCACTGGAAGACATATAGGATATGGCAGAAGCAGCACAAGTATGAAAACATTTTCAGTTCCAAACTCTGTTACTTGCACAACCTTGGATGATTCATTTCCTCCTCCCTTTAAGGCTGAGAACACAAAAACCTTATAGCCAGCACTTGGTGTGTATTGTCTTCATTAAATGTTAATTCCTTCCCTCTTCCTGTTCGCTCATAGCCCCAGTGAATGTACATGTATGTATATATCGTAGTAGGCATGAAAACAGCAATATTAACATGGGCCATTTGTTTTTTGGCATACAATCTGTACAGAAACCATTCTTTCTGTGATTACCAGTGACCTTTTCATTTCCAAATCTGAAAACCTCTGTTCATTCCTCATCCTAGTGACTGCTTTGTAGTATCTAATACTGTCACCCATTCCATTTGTGAAGAAGGGTCTTTGCCTTCCTCAGTGCTACTTTCTCCTGCCTTTCTGTTCCTTCCTTGTTTTCCTATTACTGGTGCCTTTTTCTCTACCTGTACTTAGTGCTTTCCAATCTTAGCATACTTGTCAGATACTGTATCTCAGCAATCTTGTCCACTTTTAGGATATCTTGGAAGAAAAAGTTGCATAATAACAAGTCGGTTTCTGCATAAATATATTCAGAAAAACATCTTTAACTTCCATATGAAAACAATCTTTTCTTTGTTGCCCCAGTAGATGAACAGTTTCTTCTTCTTAGAGCCTTTATTTCTACATAAAATGAAATGGGGAGAATTAAAAGTATAGAAGTTTTACTTCTTGCTAATGGCAAGAAGGCAAATTTTTTTTCTTTGACAGTCATGGCTATTTTCAGAACTCTGCATTATTAACCTGCCAAATTCTTGCTATTTTCATCTTTGTCCCTAGATAATCAGAGATTTAAAAAAGAAAACAAAACAAAAGCATGTAAAAAATGAAACTTGTGCTTTTTTTAATGATTAAAATAATTGTGTAGTAGGCATCAAATCAATCAGCAAAGACTATAAAGAAGGTACTCCCTATCCTTTCCATTACATCAGACTTTCTAATTCCAATTGCTCCTTCAAATGGGATTGCATTCAGAAGATTGCACAGAAAAAAAAAAAAAAAAAAACATGAGTGTTAGGAAAGGATGAAGACACTCAGAGCAGAGAGCTTATATTTGTTAGGGAAATGAGATCACTGGTAATGTCACCCAACAAGTAGGAGTTAAGGACTAGAAATGGTCAATTGCAAAACCAATCATTTGATGCTACAGAGCTGGGACTTGACTTGTTCCATAATATTAGAAGAAGTAAAAAGAAGAAAAGAAGACAAAGTAAGATCAATTCTACAAGCTAAGTGTTTGAGGTAAGAAAAACAAAAACATTAAATGTGTTCACAGGAAAGTGGGTAGATTGAAGCTCTGAAGATGTGAGCGGGAGCCTGGAGTGATTTTGTGGCAGGCTATAAATGTCAGGATCAGTATTTTAGACCTTGTTCGATAAGTGGTGTGAGCAAGGACCCGATGAAAGTAGTGTTTTATCTGTCAGTGTGTACAGAATAAATTAGAAAGATAAGACACATGGGCCTGAATGCTAGCTAGTACGCTGCTGTCGAAATGCAAGGGTAAAATAATAGAAACTGCAGTGGTGAAAATAGGCAAAAATAAATGGATTTGGTATGCATCATGAAGAAAACATTTTTACAACTTAGTGGCAGATAATAGAAGGGAATGATAGAAATAAAAGAATCAAAATGATCATATGATTCCTTAATTCTAACATTTTTAGCTTAAGAATAGTTTTATTGATGAAAATTCTTAGGCCTAAAAGTAGGGCTAATTTTGGAAAGTGTACATTATATACTTTACATTTGGGGCCATGACAGGGTTAGCCAAGTGAAAATATCCAGTAATATATTGGAAATGTAGAAAAGTAGCTGTAGAGATAGCTTAGGATGGCAGATGGAAATTTGGATAACATTTCCATTAAGTGATTTGCTGAAGCCACAGGAATAGCTAAGGTCTCTAAGATATACCCCAAATCATATATATAGTAGTAAACATGATTATATTTTACCATTAATAGATTTCTTTTTCTCTACAAACATTTGAATTTGTAGACTCTTCAAGTATTTTTTAATTTAAAGAATTTAACTTAAATGTTATTAGCTTTAAATTATTATGTTCTTACTTGCATACTCACTTGCATAATATGTGAAGTAAAATATAAGATAGCTAACTTTACCACTCTATGATTCTAAAGATAGGAATATTTATTACATGGCTTTTAGCAAAATATCTGTCTATATCAGGAGTCAGGTAACTGTGGCCTTTGAGCCAAATTTAACTCACAGCTTGGTTTTTGTTTTTGTTTTTATTTGTTTTCTTTTTTATAATTAATGTTTTATTGGAACATAGCCACAGCTATCTCTTTGTGTTAATAGTTGTATTAGTTTTCTCAGGCCGCTATAACAAAATACCATAGACTAAGTGGCCTAAACAATGGAAATTTATTTCTTACAATTCTAAAAGCTATGAAGTCCAAGTTCAAGGTGCCAGCCAATTTGGTTCCAGAGTAAAGACTGCTTCCTTGCTTCTTAACTTGCAGTCAGCCATCTTCTCTTTATGCCCTTACATGGCAGAGAGAGAAAGCACAAGAGAAGGAGAGGGAGAGGAGAGAGGAGAGAGGCGAGAGAGAGAGAGAGAGAGAGAGAGAGAGAGAGAGAGAGAGAGAAGCTCTCTGGTCTCATAAGGTCACTAATCCCATCATGAGAGCCCACCCTCTGGACCTCATCTAAACCTAACTATTTAATACCTACTGAAGGCTATATTTTAAAATACCGCCATTACATTGGGATTAGGATTTAAACATATGAATTTTAGGGAGATGCAACTCAGCATATACAAATAGTGAAGAATTAGTGTTGTTAAATAAAATTTCTTAGTGTACAAAGCTATTTAAGTTTTTAATATTAAGCTTTTCCAGAAAGCTGTGAAAACAGGATAACTCTATTCCCTCAAAGCCCATTCAAACTTACTGATCATTCAATATAATTCATCCTTTCATAAAATAAATCTTTATTGAATGCATGCTACATATTTTGTATTGTTGTCATGGTATTAATCCCAGCCTGCTGAGAAAATAAAGACTGTCTAACA